CCATTACACACGTCTGCCTAAAAAATGTAATAGTTCAAAAGCTTTTTACTGTTTAACAATTAAATTTCAATTCTTTCTTGGTTGTTAGTTATTAATTATTAATTATTAATCATTAATTAATAATTATTAGTTATTAATTATTGGTCATTAACTAATATTATTATTACTATTATTATTATTATTATTCTTATTGCTATGGTTAGTATTATCATTATCGTTCTTATCTTTTCATTCTTCTTTTGTATCTTTGAATTTTTCATCTAACCAGTGTGCAATACTGATGGTTCCGCACAAAAGCCGATTAGTGTTGTGTTTTGAGTTTCATTTGGACCGCTATTGAACTGGTAAAAAGATAAAGGTTTTTTCCAGCTCAATATCTGTGTGTTAAATTTTTTTTCTCTCTTCCCTTTCTCCCTTTGATTTTACGTATTTTTTTTTAGTCTGCTACTTTGTTATTGACATTAATTGCTGATTTTAACGTTCGTGACAGAAGAAAATGCTTTTTTATTCTACTTCTTTTCCTTCATCCTCTTTGTCGTTTTGTTTCTTTTCTAAAGCATTAGATGTAATGGAGTGTTTGGTTACAGAATGGCAGAGGGAACAGCAGCGGAAAAGATCGTTGTTGGAGAGTGCAAAAACAAGCAAAAATACCCAGACACAGACACAAACACTGAGACACACGGACACAGACACAGACACAAATACATACACACGGTGATACCAGTTAACATGAAAGCCTTGCCTTCTGTTTTATTGTAACAGAATTATTTGAGAAGACGATGAAAGCAGAAGTACAACGAACAGAAAGAAGAATTTTTGAAGTAGATGATGCTCATGTACTCTTCAACTTCAAATTAAGCTGTTGATTGCTTTATCCCTCCTCCGATTTGTTTGCGAAACCGCTTCATTTTTTGATCCACACTTGTTATTCTTTATCCCCGCTCCCCTTCCCCTACCTCACCCACCTAACCCAACATCGGTTACTCTTCTGGTACTTAGATTCAGGACAAGTAACAACAACGGTTATCCTTTATACTTACTTGTTTTTAAACTGAATTTTTGTTTTGCTAAAATTTACAAACTCTCGCCTCCCAGACCAAGCAGTGGTAATTTTTCATATCGACACTGATGGGTCGCTGTTAAGCAGCTCATTGTGCTACTGAATTCGTTTAATATTAGGCAATAATCATGCATCACCGCTACTGCTACTGCAACTATTACAAAAAAACTAACGGCAACAACAACTACTGCTACTATTGTTGCTAAATAGATTATTCATTCACTTACTTAAAACAATACTTTCAGTTGTTTTTTTCCTGCTATTCTTTGAGTTTTTGATTAAAAAGCTGACAAGAAGAAGCCGAAGAAAAACAGCAGAAACAGTAACAGCATTGGAGCTATATTAGCAGCTATACTTCTATACGGCAACAAAGCCCTCAATTTACTTTCAGATCATTATTTTCAAAAACAAAAGAAAAAAGGCTTTTGGAAGTTATACCATATTCTTGTTTCCTCTCCTTCTTCCTCTTCGTCTTCTTTTCTTGTTATTGTTGTTATCGTGGTCAACGTCGTCATCGTCGTCGTCACCACTGTTGTCACTTATATTAAACTTGGTATTGGAAACCCGGTTGAAGAAAAAAATGAGCGCATTTTGGGGACGCTTGAATGCTCATCGGCCATCATTGGCAAAGATCTCAACTAAGGACAGCGATGAAGATGAAAACTGCCCGCCAGAAACCAAAAATGAAGTATTTGAGTTGTTTGCTAAATCAACAAAAGTTAAAGAACGTTCCAGCCGTGTGTACGGCAGTGATCGGGATTTATATCGGCCAATACTGAAACGTGACCTTGGGAAGCAGAGCAGAAAAATGTCAACTCTTCCACGGCTGCCAAAAAATGATACCGGTCTACGTGAACGTTCTGCATCGCCTCAAGTTGCATTTGAGTTGCACAAAAAAGCAAATTTAGAAGATAAAATTGAAGAGACAGAAAGTAACAAATTTTTGAGTCCAACAGATGTTGCTGCAAGTGGGTCAACAGTTACGGAACCTCTTACTGTTGAGGTTTGTCTTATCAAACTTCTGCTTTTAGTTTATTTAATCATCATCAAAATGGATTTATCTGTGAAATCCAACCATAGATAGGTGTGATGGTTTCTTTACTCTTTATTGTTACAATTTTTTGCTGCTAATCATTCAACTTTTTTCGGGCTATCAGTACTGTTTATCTGTTTACCTCGCTATCTACTAAAAACTTCGGAAGAAAGAAGAGAGGAGGAATGAAAAGAAGAAATTTTATATGTTTATGTTAAATTTTTACACACTTTTAGAGGTCAAATTTGTTTTCGCTTTTCTTTTTCTTCTTTGTTTTAAGAGTGAATAAAAACGTTTTAAATAGTACTGTGAGTGATGATTAACCTAAGATGACTATGTTAAAAATTTTGTGATAGCTTACACATATTGGTTATTTGACGTTTAGGTCGTTTGCTGGGTATACTTGTAGTTGCTGATTTTAATAATGAAAATTAAACTTAGGTTTCGGGTTTTACCAGATACTTTAAGCACTAAATTAAGCTAAATTTGACTGAATCACCGGTATACTGATTGACTAGAATCAGTAGTGAAGCATAAACTATTATGAGCCTTTCAATTTTTACTTTGCAGAATTTCAGTTTTGGCAAGTAATTATAGAACAACAATTTGAATTTATGTATTTTTTTACTTTTTTTGTCTCTTTACTTTATTTATTTTTGATTGTTTTCATCATTTCTTCCACTACTGCTGCTATTCTCGTTAGTGCTTCTTTTTCTTCTTCCATTAGTTTTTTTTTTGTCAATTTTTTTGTAGTCACTTAATTAACAGTTTTCATCAGTTGCTCAACAGGCAAAAAATGCTGATCATCTGTTAATATTTCGATACTGTTAACAGTGGATACATTCTTTTTTTTTTTTTTTGATATTTTTTGCAAATCTTGCACGAAAAAATTTTTTTTTGTATTTTGGTACATAGTTAAAATTGATCATTTGATCAACTTAGATTGCATACGCTGATAGAGTTTTAGTTTTTGGTTTTTGCATCTGAATTTCTGTTTTTTTTTTCTTTCTATTTATATCCGGTTTTTTTTTTTGCTGTTTAGTCGAAAACATCATTATCACCGTCATCATCATTATCATTATCATCAGCAACAGCAAAAAATGACATGTAAAGAATACCCATAAGGGAGCTTGGTGTAATTGAGTTATCGTTCAAAACTTAGATCTTTTCATTTAAAACTATTTGTTTTTTGTTTATTTGACTTTGAAAAAAAAAAAAAACTTTTTTTTTTGTTTTAATATTTCATTGCAGCAAATTTCATCATCTTAGTTTTTTTGTTTTTTTTTTTTTTATTGAGCCAGTCAAAAAATCAATTAATTTGGACCACAAAATACAGAAACACTTTTATGAATGTTTCTAATATTAGACGAAAGAAAAAAGTTTAAAAATAATCAAGAAATTTTTTTTTTTTTTTTTGTTTAACAAGTCTGTCCAGTGAAATTTCTTGGAGAAGAGAATTAAAACAGAACAACAGAAGGTGAAAAAAAGGAGGAGAAAAAAAAATAACTGTGGCAAAAGGTTTTTTGTGGAACAGATGGAAATGATGAAAGGTGCGGGAAAACGGCGGAACCAGATGCATGACTCAATCAGCAATAATCAGTGCCTTTTTTTGATTCTGATTTTTCAACTGAACAATGGCCACTTGTACTTCTGAAGTGTATCCTTCTGTTTTTTTCCATTCCTTTTTTTTTTTTCTGCGTCAAATAGATGAAAGCTAAAAAATTTTCAGATCACTGTAAAACAGATGAACACTTTTCAAGTTTCAAATTTTTCTTATTTCTTACAGAAACCAAGCGATAAACTTCCAACAACTAAGAGGAAAAAGACCTGACATAAATGACATGCAACAAAAGAAAAAGTAGTATGTGTCTGATCTGAAGGACAACAAGCCCAAAGTAAATGTGTTCTACCAGTTAAAAGCTATACGCTAAGATAAATCTTTAACCTATTTATTGCTTACAAAATTTTCTGTAAAAGTTAATAAAAAAGGAGCTATAGGAGCCATAAACCTATTTGATCTACGGTCGTCTATTGAACATAAAATGCTTCAGCAAATTTTGATCAACGATTTTTTGCTACGCGGTGCTAGTTGATGATCAGCACAAATGTATCTTATGGCTGTTGGATTGTCAATTGTCGATGATAAATTGATAGATTTTTTGTTTTTTGTTTTTAATAATTAACGCCGATATAGAGGTTGGAATTGAGGACAGAACAAAAAGTTAAGTATAATTGAATAATGCTTTAATAACTCATCCAGCTTTTTCTCAGCTACCTTGTTTTTCATTTGTTTCAAACTTTAAAACTCCTCGTTTTTTCTTCTTTCTATTATTAGCAATAAAAAAAATTTTTTTTTTTTTAAAGCTGACACAGAGAAAAGAAAAAAACGAAACATTGGAAATGCACAACAAAAAAAATTTTTTTTTTCTCAAGTTAAAAATTCAGTTAGCTTAGTGTAGTTTTTTTTTGTTTTTTTGTTGTTGTTGTTTTGCGTTTAAGTAAAAATAAACATTATTATTGCTATGATTTCATCATCATCTTTTTTTAGATCAACATTTTTTTTTTTGCTACAAATACCAAATTTGCTATAAAATCTGTTAAAACAATAATTTTTTTTTGAAGTTTTAAAGTTTTATTTACAGTTGAAAAATCGAAAAAAAAAAAAAAAAACCAAAGAATTTTTGTTTTTGTTTGGTCTGTTTAAAAAAGTACAGTCTGCTTATCGGTATCTATTTTTACCGTTGTTACCGTTACTGTTGTTTGCTACTGCTGTTGCCCACAACTACCAGTAACGGCAGTAACGACAGTAACAGCAACAGCAACAGCAACAGCAACAGCAACAGCAACAGCAACAGCAACGGCAACAGCAACAGCAGCAACGGTATCACTGAGCATTGAAGGCATAGCAACAGATTACATTTATCTACTTTAGTTTTTACTTTTTTTTTTGTTCAAAAGAAAAACTAAACGAAATAAAGGCAAGGAAAAAAAAAAAGACTATATAAAATTTGATCACTAAACTGGAAATATTTTTTATTCGTTTTTTCGCTTTTTTTAAATTTCATTTTTATTTTTTACAAATTTTACTTTTATTTGCTTATTACTCTTTCATTCTTTTATATCACCACTTTTACGTTTATCAAAACAGAACACAAAACTGTATCGAATTGTAGGTTTTTAAAAAAGTTAAGTTGAAAAAGAGCGCTATTGTTGTTTTTCAAAACAGAGAAAAAAAAAAAGGAAAAAGTTAAAGTTTAAAAATTGAATTTTTACTGTTTTTGTTTTGCCTTTTTTTTT